AACATATGTTTCTGTTTGATAAGTCCAATGGCAAAGAGGTAACTGTCAGTGCTTCATGGTCTAAACAGATTCAGCATGTAAAAGACACATGGTAATTGATCTTAGGGACACAAAGCAAGAAAGGAAATCACAGAAAATACTTATCTTGGAGATTTAATTGATTTCTAACATACTGTCGTATAAAATCCTGTAATAAAATTACTTTTTAACAAAACAAAAACTATAGTTTTTGTGTACAAAACAAAATGATGTTGTACCAATTATATTAACTGGAGCACTGAAATCTTTTAAATATAGGATGATTAACAGAAAGCATGGCTTCTGTAAAATGTGTTTTTTCCAAGCCTAACTACTTTTATTTAAAAAAAAAATATTTTGTTGTGAGGTGTTTTTTGTTGGGTTTTGGTTTGTTAGGGTTTTTTGTTTGTTTCGTTTTGGTTTTTATGTTTGGTTTGGTTTGTTTGTTTGTTGTTTTTTTTTTAATTTTAGTAGACCACTCAGATTTTATTTTGGCAGAATCTAGTCAAGGTGTTTTGGGTCAGTATATCTACTTGACCTGGATTTTACAACAATGGACAGCCCCAACTCCCTTTTTGTCTGTGAATGAAGTAATTACATAAATATGCAGTGGTTGAGATGAAAGACTGCAGAAGAGTAGAGGTAGCAGTAATCTGTTCAGCAAGTTCCTTTCTGCAAAGCATAGACCAGGAAGATGACACTCTCAGAAGGCACTGGAGGTAAAAAGTAATTCTACTTTACTGCTGAGCTGTCTCCAAGTAAACATTTGGATGTCTAAATTAATAATTATTATTGGTTAATGTTCTGAGAAAAATGTCTTCATTTTGTCATTATTTATTCCAATTCTGGACCAAAACTAGTAGGGAAATACTGGAATTTTCAAAGGCTAAGAGTTTTGAAATGTATTCCTTTTCCTTACAGTATAAATTGTTATGGAATGTATTCAAGTCATATAAATGATGCAGGGAGCAGGTGGGTTATCTAAGTACAGTCAGTTAGGCAGTTTGTCTTTCAGATGAGGAACTAGGAAAAAGATCGGTAGAAAGGATTAAGAAATTTAAAGGCTAAGAAGCTTTACAGATTGTTTTGTTGATGATTGATGAGCTTCATATTATTTCAGATCTCAAATCAGTGATTTAGAAACAGAAACACAGATACCTCTTCAAATATCTTAGGAGATTTTATCTGAGTAATCTAGATTTTATGATACTGTTTCATAAACTTTGAGATTGTCTATTTGATTTGTTTGTTGTTTTGGCTTCTAAACACTTTTTTAATTGTTCCAACAACTTCAATATCACTGTGAACTTGTCAGATCAGTTCAGGTTCATACTGGGGATAAGGATCCCAGTAAACCTGAATCTGAAGTAAATTGAGACAATGTCCATGATGAATTTGCACTGCTATTGTGCAGATCATTCCTGTTTCTACTAGGTAGATAATTAATTTCCATATCCTTTTGGTTCTGTGTAGTTTCTTGCCATTATCTAGCACAGCAGAACCATGTAATTTTTATTAAAATACATTGTAAAATTCTTTTATCCATTCTGACCAGATTCTCAAATGTTTTTTTTTTTTTTCTCCATTTTGTAAAAAAAAAAAAAAAAAAAAAAAAAAAAGCTTAGTTCTGATGTCCATATAGTCCATATAGTTAAATTCTCTGAAGTGAATATAGTATACTAAAATATAGCATCCCAACAGGGGTGGTAAATAGTGATATTGCGTCAAGATTAATTTCTTGTTTATTTTTTTTCCATTATAGTTTAGGACAACTTTTCTCACAGTTTCTAAGATGTTATATTTTGACCTTCTCTTTCATTCTTAAATACCTTGTCATAATTCTAGTACATATAAATATTTATGACATTCTGCTCTTCAAGAGACTATAAGTTTTTGAAGATAAATTGATGGAATTAATTTAACTGGCTGTGACCTTTCATTTATGGAAAAGGTGTCACAGATTCTGCAAAACCATCTATGACTGATACAACATATCATATTTTAAAGATATTCCAGAGAAAACTTACATATGTATGTCTGTGTTTATGTCCATGTGTGTGTATACACAGAATCATAGAATCATTCAGGTTTGAAAAGACCCTTGGGATCATCGAGTCCAACCATCAGCCCTATTCTACAAAGTTCTCCCCTACACCATATCCCCCAACATCTCATCTAAACGACCCTTAAACACATCCAGGGATGGTGACTCCACCACCTCCCTGGGCAGCCTATTCCACTGTCTGACCACTCTTTCTGTGAACATTTTTTCCTAATGTCCAGTCTGAACCTCCCCTGTTACAGTTTAAAGCCTTTCCCCCTCGTTCTGTCACTAATCACCTGTGAGAAGAGACCAGCACCAACCTCTCTACAATGTCCTTTCAGGTAGTTGTAGAGAGTGATGAGGTCTCCCCTCAGCCTTCTCCTCCTCAAACTAAACACTCCCAGCTCCTTCAATCGCTCCTCACAGGATTTATTCTCCAGGCCCTTCACCAGCTTCGTTGCCCTCCTCTGCACTCGCTCCAGCACCTCGATATCTCTCTCATATTGAGGTGCCCAGAACTGGACACAACACTCCGGGTGTGGCCTCACCAGTGCCCAGTACAGGGGGACTGTCACCTCCCTACTTCTGCTGGTCACACTATTGCTGACACAAGCCAGGATGCCGTTGGCTTTCTTGGCCACCTGGACACACTGCTGGCTCCTGTTCAGCTGCTTGTCCATTAGAACCCCCAGATCCTTTTCTTCCAGACAGCTCTTCAGCCACTCCTACCCCAGCCTGTAGCCATGCAGGGGGTGGTTGTGGCCCAAGTGCAGGACCTGGCACTTGGCCTTGTTGAAGCTCATCCCGTTAATGTTGTCCCACCGATCCAATCTATCCAGATCTCCCTGTAGAACCTCCCTGTCCTCATGCAGATTGACATTGCCGCTTAACTTGGTGTCATCTGCGAATTTACTGATGATACACTCTATGTCCTTACCAAGATCATCAATAAAGATGTTGAACAGAAATGATCCCAACACCGAGCCCTGAGGAACACCACTTGTGACCGGCTGCCAGCTGGATTTAGCTCCACTGACTACCACTCTCTGGGACCGTCCATCCAACCAGTGCTTGACCCAGCAGACCGTGTGCTCATCCAGGCCATGAGGAGCCAGTTTTTCTATGAGAATCCTATGGGGAACTGTCTTGAATACTTTTCAAAAATCCTGGTAGACAAAATCCACAGGATTTCCCTCATCCAATAGTTGGGTCATTTTATCATAGAAGGAAATTAGGTTTGTCAAGCAGGACCTACCTTTCATAAACCCATGCTGACT